AAAAGGAATGAATGTCAGGAAATCGAAGGTGATAACAGTTTAAAGGATGGTTCAAAGGGGCCGACCATTTGATTTTTGAAAAGGGGCGGGGCCGGTATGGGTGATTTCAGAAAAAATATCCAGCAGACTGATTTCGAGCGAAAAAAAAACCTTGCAAGGAAATACCTGCCATACAATGGCTTTGTATAATAGGGAAAACAAATTCTAAAGGTTTGCGAAAAAAAAAATTCTTACGCAAACCAAATCACGCATAACCCCCCTCAAAAGTCAATGGTCGGCCCCTATCTTATGCAAGTTTCTTCGAGTGCTAGACAACATCAGACAGGAAGACAATCTAGTACAGGAGAAAGTGTATTTAAAAAGGCTCTCTGTGATCTAGAAGAGACCCCTGCCGATTACAATAAGACAGTGGCGAATACCGGCATTTACGTGCGGCCGATAGCTGAGCTGCAAAGACTTGATCGTGAGACACGAAAGATCCTGGTGGAGAGTGGAGTAAAGCAAGGTTCCACAGAGCTACTCTATCTCCCCAGGAGTGTTCGGGGGACGGGGGGGGGGAGTGGGGGCAGAGTATAAGATAACAAAGATAAAGGCGGATGTGAATATTAAAGGAAACACATATTCTACAATGGGACTAGTCCGAGAGTTTGAAGAGAAAGTGGCCCAGGTTGGAGGGCGCTCTGTGGTTAAAGACGAACAAACGTTTGCAGAGGAACTATGGATGGATCTAAAAACTACAGTACCCAGATCCAACCAGTCACACTGGGGAAGGCGATAGGATAGAAACACCGAAGATTGGAGACTGGATCAAGAAAGAGGTGCAAAGCAACCGTTATAAGGAGAAATGGCAGGGTAAAGTAATAACTGGGCGGTGGCAAGATGACGAGCTGGGCGCATGCTTTCTTGGAGTAGTCAATCGATAAAAATTGGTAGTAAGCAAGTAATTTTTATCGATTGATAACGGAAATCGTTGAAAAACTATAAAGTTAATTGCTGTGTCAAATCGATATTATCGATTTTTCATGATTTTAACGATACGATAACGATTTAAAACGAAGTGCGCCATTGTTGTTTGTCTGGCATAAGTTAGATACTATAACTGAGAAAACACATCTACGAGTAACAACTGATCAACAAACGTGAAAATGAGAAACGTTCAAACTATTACACACACAACTTTCTCTATAAAACCCTAAATTATTTTGTACATAATAACAAAAACGGTTCGTTATTTTAGCTCTCGCAGGCAAGTACCGCTGTATAACTTAAAATTATAAAAGTACTTAGAGTTCTTAAACTGTACAAACTGAATGAAACCTACTTAAAACGAGTTTAAAAAATCAAACGAAATTACAGAAAAGTAACAGTGGCGGTTATTAGTAACAGTGGGGCTACTCCTCGGCGAAAAAGGCAAGGAATTCCAAAGTTTGGGAGCAGCAACAATAAAAAAGGGACCTCCTAGATGAGCGATCAGTTCTCTAAGCTGGTGACTGTATGATGAGGATCATTTCTTTACGAAGGACACTTTGTCCCAATGCTTCCCAAAGGTGTCTGCTTCAAAGATGGAGCTTTGAATGTACTTGTCCCGTCAAACGGAGCACTTAGGAGTTCATAAGAACTCGTTGAACCGTGTCCGTGCGTTCCAGATCCAATCTCGACCCAGAGCTCTTCTGCGCATGTCTTACGCGCGCATTCCCAAACCCGTAAGCACTGGGTTCGAGAATGGTTCCAGATTGAATTGGAAAAACCTCTCGGAGCAAGAGCGAGAACCGACAACAAACTCAACCCACATATGATGTCGACGCCAGGACTCGAACCAGGGCCATATTGGTGGGAGGCGAGTGCTCTCACTACTGCACAACCCTGGCTCCACAACAATTTCATCTCTCGCTATTCTCGACTTCAGAGCTGTTCTCTACTGTGCTTGACCAAAGGACGAGAAGAGCTCACAGAGCCGAGGCTCCGATGATCGGAGCTCTGTTTCCATGGCTAGGGCGGGGAAGCGCAACATTCCAACACTAACAGCTCAACAGGCAACAATTGATCTGCTTAAACAGCCTTTACTGGAAATAAACTACTTTATTGAAGTTATCGCTATTCAGTAGAAATTACCTTTTACAACAAGGCATTTTCTGATTGATAGTAACCACTAAACAACATTTTTATAGTTGTTTGTTCCCCTCCTTTTAAGGGGTTTTGAATTTTGTTTTCTTTATATGTACGCAATTAAGGCTGAAATTACACAGACTACAACAAAAATTTCATTAAGAGACTATGTCCTCAAGTGCCTGCTTATTAAACGTTACAAATGCATATTTAATCCCAGGTAATTTTTGTTTTTCTTTTGTTTTGGTAAGTATGCTAATGAAGTTTAAAAAAAAAAAAAAAATTACCCGAGATAAAAAATTATCTACAACACATACAAACTTCTCCACTCTGGAGACTGTTGCAATTATTGTTTACGCTGTTCACGCGTGCAAGAAGGCCATGAACACAAGTTGCATGCACTGAACTTAAATAAACTTGTAACGAATACCCAGTACTAGTTAGAGCTGTGGTGCAACTCCATTCCACAAAAAAAGAAAGAAAATTCAGTCTTGAGGTACTCTTAGGGACTTAAAATCTCCGCTGAAAAAATGGTTTTCGTACTTCTAAATCTTTTAAGTCCCAATAGGGTTGGTACCCAGTTTGTGGCAGTACCTAGTTTAGACCTTTCTATCCCTTTTAACTGCTTTAAATTAATTGTCTTTAAAGTATGAATAGATCACAAAACCAGAACGTTTTCTCAACTTTTCCACAGCCATAAAATGAATCTGTTAGCCATTTTGGGCCTTTTTACAGACCACTGACAGATTTCTGTACCCTTCCAAATACTTCAACTAATGAAATCCCTTACCCCTGTAAAGGCCTTCCTGTATAAGCCATTATAGAGGGTACCCACCTGCCAGGCCCAATATCTACATACAAATTCTCCAGACTGATCTCCAAAGATCTTCTTAAAGAACTGTTTGAGAGAATTTGATAAAAGATCAAAGAATTTTCCCTTAAGTGATCATTCTATGAATTCTCATCACCTTTTTACTTAATTATTATACTGTTAAGAGAAAATTAATGTTGGTCACTCCTGAGACTTAAGGGTGAAAGGAGCTGTGTCATGAAATTCATCAAAATTCAAACAGTGAAAAATGCCACCAAATAAAGTGAAACAAAATAACCACTGTCACTAAGACAGGGAAAAATAACACAGCAAATACAATGGGAGACATGCTTGGGAGACATGGTCATTTACAAGGACTTTCTTCACAAATGTTAAGTGCCATAGCAGATAAGGATGTGTAACTGGCAATATTGAAAAAATGAACTAGACAGCTGTGATGCAACCCCTTTCCTGCACTTTTCAAAAACTCACGAACTCTGAAGTTCATGAGCTGCCTTCACAATTGCATTTTTTGCTACTGTCAATCATAATGACGTTCACAGGTAATGAACCTTGACACACGGAAACACACAAAATGGATCAAAATCCACCAATCACAAACCATGACCTTTTGAGCCCATTTAAGTAAACTACTGTTTCCTTAGAGGTCAGCTAATATGATTGACGGCAGCGAAAATGCAAACGTCAGTTGGCTTTTGAACTTATTAGAGTGATTTTGAAAAGCGCAGTAAGACAATAGGCAGAGTTAGCAAAGATAACGCAACTTAAGGGCGTAAAGGACTGAACATGACTTCCAGTGTTCCATTATTTTGTCCTTGTACCATTGGTCAAGATTTCTGTGTGCTATTGTCATTGTTATCATGTTGACTTTGCTAAGTCTGCCTATTATTATAACATCATCAGCTATGTCTCTACCAGGTTACACGCAGCTATAGGGATTGTTAAGGAGCAAGAAATGTTAAGTAACATTTCAGAGTTAAACTTTGATTGACAACACCGCTCTGTAGTAATTACTATACAAAAGAAACTGAGATATAAACAAGCCCTACTGAATATGACTATGATATTACAAAATATACACTTAAGTGTAGAGCAAAGTAGATGCTATTTTACAACAAATTAATCTGAGGTAAATCACTTTCTTGCCAAGCTAGATCTAGTCACATAAAATACATGATTTTCCACTGCACTCATTATTATTAATCTGACACTTCTCGGAATTGGGTAGTTTAGACAAAGATTGAACAGTGGTGGATCAAGGGAGCTATCAGATTGTAGGTTTATGTTTCTTTTAAATTGTCTGATTTAGGAAGTTTAGACTTTAACGATAGATCTTACTAGTGTACGTTGTAAGTAAAACTTGGGTGACGGAGAAATGAAATACGAATTAGTGAACGTGTAAATTTAAACGGTCATTACTTCAAATCTAGGAAACATGTCAGTAGTAAGAAAGGGAGGAAATTTGGCCCCCCACCCCTCCCTCCTCCCCATCATTAAAAGTTCCTGGATCTACCTCTGTTACAATAAAGCAAATTAATATATTTTCTGTCTTCAGACTTCCTTTGAAGTAAATAAAAATCATCCATAGTTGAAGCCAGAATTCATGAATCCCACAGATAAATTTTGAGAACAGTTTTTTTGCCTTGGACACTCAATATATTTCCAAAGCTCATTTTTCCTAGGCTTGCCCTTTCAGAAAGAGACATAATGTTTTCCCGTACCCCCTATAAATCAAACTAGGTCTGAGCATAAAATGATCACTCAAAAAAACCTGATTTTTAATATTTCATTTGGAAATGAAACCTGCTCATTTTATGTATTGACGCTTTTTCTTTCAGTTTTGAATTTAGATGCACTTGAGAATGAAAAAGTCCAATCCAAACAGTAAAGATGATATTATCTTTCAAAAACAATATTGTCTTAATCACTTCTTAACAGTTCGATTCTAATTACAATAATTCAAGGGTTTGTTGTTAATAACTCACCAACTGCAAAGTCTGTTCCAGTGCGAGTTAAACAAAGGTCACAAAGGGATTATTACATAATGACCCATTTAATATTACTATAGAGTTTGTATGCTACCATTTTGTGAAGAAGCACGTGAAGATGATGTACGAGATGTCCTGTGCCTCTGTGGTGGAGATAGCTCCATTTGAGTTTGATCAGGATCTTCTACATCCCCATCTCTAACATCGTCCAAATCCTCTCTGAATGTAAACCTGCCAGGGAGGTCTGTGTTGGTGAGCAAAAATCCATCATTATGTCGTTTGCCATGTACAATATGATAATATACAAAAAGGACCAGATCTATAGACAGTATCCCACAAAGTGTTGCAAGGACAATATTGATGTTTTCCACCTCACAGTTAGTTGTGTCAAACTTAGTAGATTCACACTGTTTGCCTCCCTTGTTCCACAAATGTAAAAACACTGGTATCAGGGCTGGACCTGCGAATCTTCCCATGGAATCAGCTAAGTTGAAAAATCCAAGGAAAACACCGCGGCGATTACGGGCCTGATCACTGAAGTCTGTTATCTTCTGAGAGTAATAAACCCCTACTCCAGTAAAAAATGCAGCGGCACCGGAAGTCGACAGCGCGACACCACCAAAATAAAACCCGTTCTTCAATCGTTCATCCTCAACACGGTAATCCAAAAGCAATACAAAACCCCAGACATTAAATATAAGTCCAAGGATAGAAAACATGGCGGGTGAGAATTTCTTATGAATTCCAGCTCTAATTAACACACCCGCAAGCACGAAAGCTATCCCTCCGGAAATGTAAACTTTCCACAAGTCTCTCTGTTCCGCTATGAGACTGTATTTACCAAAGGCTAGGGTGAACAAGTCACTTGTAATTCCCCAGAAACAGGCAGTTCCGACAAATACCGACAACATAAGGGTCAAAGTGTGTCCTATGAGTCCTTTCGCTTCTCTCCAGTCAAATTTCATTGCCATGTGTGGAGCCAGTGGATTCTTGAAACAGAATTTGATAAGAGGCAACATAAACAGTACGACATTCGCGGTCGCCAGCCAAGCAGGGGTTGTGTATGTATTGAATACTTGAACAGTCAATGAGCTATTTAATGTCGTCGCTATGTCGCCCTTGCTCGAGAATAACGGTACTAGAAACATCCCTACCGTTGGCCCTCCCAAAAGACCGACTGCTTGGGCAAGTTTAAAGCTCGCCACAGATTTTCCACGCGTCTCTCTGAGAGTTGTGTTTGTCAAATACACAAGCCCGAGTGTCACAGATCCGGCACTAATACCCGCTATAAAACGTCCAAAAAACATCATGTTTAGAGACTGTGAAACAACGGATAGACCATACATCACATTTCCTATGACATTAACAATTAGCGACAACATAACGGCGAACTTTAAGCCTCGTAAGTCCGAAATATAGCCTAATAATGGTGAAAGTATCGCTTGAGCGAGGGCATAACTACCAAACATGACTCCGTAGAAAGCGTCGCTACCTCCGAGCGAATACCACAGTTCTTGCACGGAAACCAATACAATAGAATAGTCCAGGGCCATGGTAAAGCCAAAGTAATGGACAGCGACGGTTGACAAGAGCTTTTTCGCGGACATTTTGCTTAGCCTCTGTGATTTGCCACATCGGAGTGATGAAAGGCCTCTCCTACTTCAAAGCTGTTCCTTTTACGTGTTTTGTAGAAGCCGTGAGTAGACTGGGGTAAGACACGCAACCCACGTGGCAGTATTGTCGATGTTCACGTACCGTGACATTACGCAATTGCCTTTGTTTTTTTTTTGGTTAAAACAAAACTTCACTCACAATCAACGTCAGATACTTAAGGACTTCCGATTCCGCATGGTTTCACAAATGCTTACATTAACCTCACATTTTTGTTTAAATTAAAACCCTATTTCATAAAGGATGAATTTCCACCGGAGAGTGGGAGTTCTGTATTGTCTCTAAAAGTACTAATGTCTTCAGTGTCAAAATGATGTTCAAAAAAAAAATAAATAAATAAATAAAAGGGTTTCACAATTTCACTCGAAGCCTAATGCATCTAGAACAGCTATCTCGAAAATTTACGGTGTATGACCCCGTCACCTAATAAAGGTGACGTCATCAAAAATTTTACATCGTTTCTTCCAAGAAAGTGAGGAAGTACATGTAGCCTGAGAACAAGGTTTCTATTTTTTGGGCAAAATTATATTGGCCTCATTTCCAAGATGCTGTTGGCTGGTCTTCACCGACTCGTATCACTACCTTTGCTTGCACAATAATCCTAGGTATCAAAAACTTTAATCTTGTCTCTGCTGCGCGCAGATCCCTTGGTTGGCTAAGGGTCCGTCAAAAACTTCTGTTAAATACTGTTACTATGGTTCAATAGTGTAGAACGAATCAGGCACCACCTTATCTTTGCAACTTATTTCATGATAGATTTAGTGTGTCAGGACGCAGCACTAGAAACATGCCACCGTTAAATCTACCTAAATGCAGATTATCGACTGGTCAACGCTCTTTCGCCTTTCTTGGGGCAAAAGAATACAACCTACTCCTAGAAAACATTCGGAACTTAAACAATATCTCAAGTTTAAAAGACTTAAAAGTCGCCGCCCACTTTCTTGGAAACTTTTCTTAAATAGATTGAATCACATTTTTTATGACTGTACATAAACTCATGTAAATATTTCTCGTTGTAACAAATGTAAATATTTTTGCCCCACACATTGTATATTACGACAGAATAGCCCCGTAATAAAGGGTACGTTATGTTAATTGAGTTGATTCAGTAGGATTCTTTCTCTATTTTTGATTGTTGTTAATTAATAATGGCAAGTAGCCATGCCAACTAATACCTGTCTAAATTGAGGTCTTCCGTAAAAACTGTTTTTAGATGCGAGCACTTCACGCTCACTACAGTTCCGTAAAAAACAAATAGGATAGATCAAGGACATTTAACACCTTTTCAGTGACGCAAAAATTTCATCTTCACAGTATTTAGAGATATAGCAAATAATCTGAAGCGAACAGTTCCTCCCTGGACTCAACGAATTGACCAATTCCGATATATTAAAATTCATACTTGGCTACGAGGCTTGGGAGAATAGAGTGTTTCCACATGACGTCACCGCGCCCATATTGGTGTCCCAAAACAATGAAACGGTGGCCGTGTTGGTGTCCAAAAACTAGTCCTGTGGGAGTTGAACTCTTTTCCTATGCAAACACTTTCTTTTGTTCCAATAAATTTGCATAGATGCTGGCCACGTGAGTGAAAATACTCTATAAAACAAAAGAAATGATCTTGAGGCTCAGCAATGAATAATACATTTCTTTCGTTTTATTCCTCCAAGCCTCGGAGCCAAGTGTGGATTTTAATATATCGAAAATGGTCTATTAACCGGAAGTACATTTTGAATTTCTTTTTATCTTAATAGGCTAATCGACAATGGCTTTTTTAACAGGCTAATCATTGCTCGTACTCAAATCCTGGTACACAGGTATGGCCCCCGTAGAATAAGGATTCCGGCGCTGTTTCACAGACAGAGTTAACCAGAGTTTAGTTTCGTCTGTCGTGTAGACTTAATTGCTAGACTTTTACTATGGATTCACGAGCGAGTTTGTGACATCGGCAGTCATTATTCTAGCCTGCGTGCCAGGGGTTCGAAAGGGAAGGGGAAGGGAATTAGGGCGCGAGACCACCCCTTCCCCTTCCCCTTTTAACGCCTGCCACGTCGGCTATCATTATTCTGCTCTTTCAATAAGAGAAGAACAGCCGACAGCTCCTTTGGGAATGAGGTCGATGTAATTTGCACTGAAAATCTAAACCGAAAATATATGACTTTCTCATGTTGTTAGAAGCTGGGAATAATGAGGCAATGTTGATGATGACGCCATCTTTATGATGATATTTTTTCCAGTCTGGAAGTCTGCAGTCTGTGCGGTCAGCTTATCTGCAAATGTCATACACCGCGCCGGAACATTTACGCAAGTCTCTCATATAACTCGTTCTACCATAGCAAATCATATCAGATGGACAGTTCTAACTCATTCGAGGCTAGCTAGGAACACTGGGGTCAACTTAACAAAACTTTTACAAGTGTAATTTACAAGTATAGCCATTTTGTAAAAGTTTTATTAAGTTGATCCTAGTAAAACACAGGAAATATAATCAACTCTACATTGCTCTTAGCTTTGAATTATTTTTTGGTCCCTTCGTGATTTCTTTATTTTCTCAATTTAACGTCAGTTCTTGATGCGTACCAGGTTTAAAACGGGTCGCATTTTGTACATATTACGGTAAAAACACAAAAAATAGCCTGTCATCTAACATGGCAACACAATTTCAGCAAATTTCAGGAAATTGTATTCTTGTACAGCTTACAACAAAACTCTAAACAAGTCCACATAAAGTCCGCCTTATTTACAGTACCCCTCAGCCTAAAAGAAGACTAGGGCACTGTACTTTAATACAGGCAGAGTTCGTGAAAGACCATTAGGTGCTGGAGGTCTAAAGTAGTCTAAAAGGGACACTACCGTTTGGTTTGTCCATGGCTCAGAGAGTGCGTCATCAGCCATTTTGTTGTTAGCTACATTGCATATATTATAAACGAAGAATATTACTGAATCTGATTACTACAGGCCCATATGTGGAGATTTGTTTGAATTTCTGTCACTGAAATGCCCATGCCCTAATTAGCATTGAAGTAGCTTCGTAGAAAAAACATGATTTCATTACTTTTTTCTTAACAAAATTCTAAATATTACAATTTTTTCCTAAATATCATGAGATTTTCTAAATATCTCCAAATCTTCTAAATATCTTAAAAAAACATCCGGATATTTGTATCTAGGCGCTCTATCCGTGACCGCGTCAAACTGGAGCGAATGCTCTCTCAAAATTACGTGTCAATTGAGGGTCAATTGTGATTATAGTTTTTTCGCACGTAGCTGAGTGGGCGATAGGTTACTTGATACCCAGTACTTCCTGACACACTGACAACCAGAGAAAGCTCTCATTAATTTGTAACTCGTGTGGAAACGCAAGATAGTTGAAACAACTCAAAAGGTAGGGTCTTTCTTTACTTAATTGAAAGCTCTTTTTATCCAGGAAAACTGATAAGAAAAAATCATGCAAATGCTGTCTACGACAGCCCATGTATCCAAAATGCACCCATGACTCGACTGTGCCACAAAGCTACTTTTGAAGAGGCTTGAACGATTGCTATCGTTCTAGCAAACCACGTCACTCTATCAGCATTTTTTCAGTTGCACACTTAAAAATCTTATACGGAGCACTTGACAGTAATACAACTCGAAATATGTAAGTTTCAAACGAGACAACAGCTTTCGATTCATGACCAATATGAGCACAAAAAAATGGCACAAAGAGCCACAGTCCATACACGGAAGTCTCAATAAGATTCGGATGTTTTGACTACAAGGTTGACCAAGCAACCTTAAACTAAATATTGTATTTAATTTAAGAAATTTTTAACGTTTCTAGTCCTTTCGTGTTTTGAAACATGCACATTGTTTAATTAAAATTGTACACTTGTAATGCGTGACATAATAAGTAAAAATTATTCAATCAAGCGAGACAAGAGCATAATTACGTGCTTCTCCTCAGTTTTTTACTTCTTACGTGGAAATTAATGTTGGCTCTCTTCGATCTGTTCTTAGTTTTACTAACACTTGTCCTTTAATCTTTACAGCCTTCTAATTCATTGTTTTTTGGGTTAGTTTCTGTGTATTTTAACATAAATAGTCTGTTAAAAATGTAAACAAAGGAAATAGAATTTTATGTTACTTTAATCGTGGTTATATCAAATTTCACCCGGTTATGTCACCATGAGAAAAGTTTTTGTTCATTATGCTTTTGTTTCCCCAGTAAAATGCTCCACCTTCGCTTTTACTATTCAAATTCTTCCGCTAAAATGCTCAATCTCCCCGACAAAAAGTCACTTTAATGCTCGTCATACAACATGGTATAACAACAACGTGTACAAGTCAGGGGCAACCAACGTCAATTTTCGGAAAATATCTGTTCGGAAGACGATTTGAGATCTACGACCATCTAGAATTTTCGGAACATTTGTTGTAAAATTTCTTGCTTGCCTGCCTCTCCTAGAATTTTCGAACATCTAAAAAATGGTAAATTGCCCATTTTTAACGGATTTTTACCCTGAAAAGGTCGCCTACAAATTTCGAGAGCCTTTTTTCTGGCTGAAATTTTCGAAAAGGTAAGTTTTGATCCCTATAATATTCTAGACTTTCAGCTAGGAAATCCGAACAGATGAAAAATTTTTAGGGGATAAAAATATGCCCATATCTACCGTTTAAATAGTAAAATACGTTTAACAATGCTATGTTTAAGTGGTTTTGAACTATGTTTCGTTGGGTGCCCCTGACAAGTTAATGGCTTTAATACAGCAAAAGATAATCCTCTAAACGGCTGTATTAGGATGGCATTGGATTTTTTTTTTTTAAATTTCGGCTTTTGGTGTTCATTTTCTCTTAAAATGTTTTCATTTTTTCATTTTTCCCAAAAACGAAAATTCTCGGGAGAACTCCACTAAAATGTTCGATTAATGCTTGATGCTTTTGCCTCATTAAAATG